TACTTCATCTTAACGAAATTTTTGGACCTAAATTTTCATTGGGAAAACTTGTGTTGATTTGGAATAAAAATGAGTTAAAAAAAGGATTGGGAATAATTGGTAAAGTTTATGGACTTTTTATATAGGGAAAATTGCAGCAACATTCCGAACCTTTACATTTTTTACAGATTTTACCTCAACCTTCAATTTGTGCTAAGACAGGTCCCCAAACATTTCAAAATTTAATACCTGAAGTCTAAAATGATGGAAACCGTTAGTTGACGTGAAAACTAAAACAATTGGATACTTTGACTAATTCAAATAGGGGCAATGTCGTCAATCACATATTAATATTTTAAATAATTAAATTAAAATCCAAAAAAATCACCCCACCCCAATCAACCCTATCCACTCATCCCCAAACCCTTCGTCTTCTTCAATAGGGGGAGAAATTGAGGCGTGCATTAACTGGAAAAACCCCAGATACACTACTAGGCACCACCCATTGTCGACACGCATCACCCCCCAAAGGAAGGCCGAAACCAAACTAAAAGTACCCGTGAAATATTGGGAACTGGAAGTGACGAAATCAAACCAATGGAGGATGACCAATTGAGGCAAAAAAATGGAGCAAGAGCTTGAAAACGCAAGTGGCGATAGTCAATTGGCATTGGACGACTACAATTAAGGACCGACGGTGGTTCATGGCGGGAGATGGCTGAAGCTAGTCGTAGCATTGAGCAAAAATGTTGGTGGTAACAACTGTTGAGAATAGTGATTATGGGGAACTCTGTTTGTGGTGGGGGTGATTTTTGTTGTGGTTGATGTATTAAAGGAGGTGGGGATTGATGATTTTAACCGTTCGTTTATAGTGAGGAATGTGGCATGGGATGAAGAAGACAACGATGTGGTTCGAAGAGAGTGGTGGTTCTAGCTATGAGATATTGTCGATGGGAGGCAGTGCTAGTTCACTAGTTGCCACTCATCGTCACTATTATCTTGTGTAAAGCTTATTTTCTATGGATTGTGATGGTGGTGGTTGTCGACGGTTGGTGATGATTGTTGGTTGTGGGTGGGTTTTGTTTTGGATTGCGGTGAGATGGGATGGGATGGGGTGGGGCTGTCGACAAACGTTGATGAAGCTGTGGTGGTGGGTGTAGGACGGAGAAAATGAACCATGATTGTTTATTTATTTATTTTTTATTTTATTTTTTTCTTTTTTATTTTTAAAATTTTAAGTTGAAGTTACAATTTTATCCCTTTTAAAATGGTCAAAGTTAATTTATTGGGTCAAGTATCTACCAGACTAACAGAAATCATTCATTTGGACCTCAGGTGCTAATTTTTTAAAAGTTTGGGACTCGTGATGGCACAAATTGAAGGTTGAGGTAAAATTTGCAAAAAAGGCAAATGTTTGGGACTGAGACTGCAATTTTCCCCTTTATATACGTAAGTATAGGTATAATGTGGTGTAATTAATAAAGATTGTTGTCTATATTTGTAATTTGAAATATTTTATATTAAAGAAAATTCAATTCCTAAAATGCCCTTATCTTATCTATAAATCCTCCTATCCCTCTCCTCTCTCGTCACCTTTAAAAGCACAGTTCCCTACGTTTCTCTGCAACATTCATCTGCGGCTGCTATTTCTAGAGAGAGAAAATATCAAACCCTTTTTAGAGAGAGAGAAAATGACGAAGGAAGTGAGTGAAGAAGGACAGGTACATCACCATGGAAAGGACTACGTGGACCCACCACCAGCACCATTGCTAGACATGGGTGAGCTCAAGCTCTGGTCCTTTTACAGAGCTCTTATCGCCGAGTTCATCGCCACCCTTCTCTTCCTCTACGTCACCGTCGCTACCGTCATCGGCCACAAGAAGCTCAACGCGGCCGACCAATGTGATGGCGTTGGCATTCTCGGTATCGCCTGGGCCTTTGGTGGCATGATCTTCATCCTCGTTTACTGTACCGCCGGCATCTCAGGTACTCAATTCTTTAGGACAAATTCTTCTCCAGAAGCACTACCTATTCCTTGAAATTTCCCTGAATTTCTCTCTATTTGCGCTGCAGGTGGTCACATAAACCCGGCTGTGACTTTTGGTTTGTTCTTGGCAAGGAAGGTATCGTTG